CAGTTCGTGAAGACCGGGTTTACCCAACTATGGCATCTTTAGGAGGAGTGGCTTCAACTCCCCAAATTCCCGCAGCCAGGTGGGTGGGCTGGGGAATTCTGGGAGTTGAAGTCCACTCATCTTAAAGTGGCCAAGTTTGGACAACACTGGTCTACAGCAACTGACAGTTCTTTAGACAATTGTCCTGCTAGAGGGATTTTTCTCCCCTGGTTTCTTCCAAGTCTCTCAACATCCACTTGCTGAAACTGAAATGCAGGTTCCACATATTTATAGGATTCATGTACAGGAATATAAGGGCACCACCTGGTGGGTTTCGCTTCTGAGCAGTCAAAAAGGCACTTTTACTTGCAGTTGGATTTCTTTTTCCTACAGGTTTTAAGCCAGTGTTAGAAACCTCCTGATAATTTCCACAATGTGTATTCATTCAGCCTAGATTCTTTCTTCCCAGCATGATGCCCAGGGGTGCCAGTAAACCAGTATCATCTTCTTTGGCATTTGCCAGTTCTTGTGTCCCATCTGTTTTTCCCCCCTCTGGATTCCTGTAATTTAAACAACAAGAACTCCCCAAAAATGGGGGGACACCAGCATGCTGAGATGCCAGGGGTCAGCCTCTAGCATCATATTTATTTATTTATATTTCAAATTTGTCACTGCCCATCTCGCTGTAGAGCGACTCTGGGCGGTTTACAATAAAAAGGATAAATATGAATGAAAATAGAATAAATATTAATTAGATACATTAAAATACAACAAGATTCCTCTATAAAAATAAATAAATAGCTTCCAAGGAATTGGTTAAGCAGCTGGCCAGTAGTAAGGGATGACCCCTGCAGACACTCTCTGTGTTTATTGCTGCTTTGTCGGGGTGTCCTTCCCTCATTTTAAACTCCCCCCCCCCATTTTGTCCTGTGAGATAGATTGGGTTGAGAGTGGCCAAGCCAAGTGAGAATTTGAATTTAATGCTCCCTGATTTAAGTCTGGTATTTTAATTCCTCCACTGACCTGAACACGGCTGCTTTCTTCTCTGTTCTTTGATAAAAGCTTGGTGCTCGGATCTTGGTCTCTCCCGATTTAAAATAACTTGAACATTTATCAGTAATAACTTTGCTTCGTTGGCTTCTGAAGCCCTTGTTACCTTCGTGCTGGGCCATTTTTCTGGATTTCGGGGCAGCGAGCCGCCCTCTAAACCATTACACAACAGCAGCGTCCAAGCAACCTTCAAAATACCTTCTGCTGCGGAGAGCAGGTGCCTGTGGCTTGGAGGCAGTCTGAGTTGTCGACTTTGGCATGTCTCCATGACCACCTGTCTACCCCAGGAAGGCGCTCGCGTTTCTTCAAACGCCATATCAGCAGGTGCAGCCAAGATGCTGTTTTGGAGAAACACTGAGCTGCTAGCTGTGGTGGCACCTCCTCGTGCTTACAGACAATAATAATAAGGATGCCCCTTCTTGGCCCCCTTCTTGCAGGGGGGATCTTATACTCTGCAGGGGGACAGTTGGGCTGGAAAACCTGCAGGGCTCCAGATGTTGAATCCTTACCCCCCGCCGGCCTCTCTCCCCGTGAGTGGTGCTGGCTGAGGTCGGGAGTTACAGGTCAGCAACAGCTGGAGAGACCCAGTTTTCCCAGAGCTGCCTGAAACGCAACAGACTTTTAGGGAATGGGGGTGGGTCGGTGGGGGCTCCAAGTGGAATCCCCAAACTGTCCAGCCAGGGTAGAAAATGGGCAGTAATGAACTGATGGAAGAAGAAACAGACAAGAGCAAGGGAAATACAGAATGGGATAAAGCAGGTGGAAGGGCGTGACTGGCTGAAATTCTGAATAAGGT